AAACATTGAAAACAAAGAGAGAAGTTAGAACCACAGGAAAGACATAACAAACCTTGAAAAGAAAAGGGAAAGTTACAACCAACACCTCTCCAGGAATAAAAGAGGAGAAATAAAATGTGTAATGAGTTTACACTAACTCATACTAACATATATGGCACTATGCCTTTCAAGAAACCTGAAACATTGCAATGTTATGATACAATGTAATAACGAGTATTGGTAAGAATGATAATAAAAGAAATGGTTTCCAATATTCAGCTACGCACACACACACACACACACACACACACACACACACACTCAAGTAGAGAATCACATTTCAAAATGGTTCACCTCAAAAATGACCCAAACCAAGTATTAGGAAAAAAATCGCTTCTAAATGTCAGCTCATCTCATGTTTGTGATGAACAGTAGGCACACAGCTGTTCTCAGCTATGAACGTGTGAATAATTATAAGGATTCTGGGATATTGAGAAAAAATAACTTTGGCATGGCCTTGATTCCAAATAATTTGTTTTTGTGCCATCCCATGTGTAGCATATTGAGACCACAGTCTCATGAGAATATTTGGTAACCTCCCTCTGGCCGCCTTCTGTCTATGATTCTCTCTATTGGTTACAATAAATAACTGTGATTGAGGCAGGGGCATTTATTAGCGGTTTCTAACATCTCATAAGAATCCATCCATTCCCTGTTAATGCCAAGGAGGGTGAGACTGAAAGAGCAGAGCTGTGCTTCTGAATTCCTTTGTCAGCCCTTTCAATGGGTGCTGGCTTCATGTAAGGATGTCACACAGAATGTAAAAATAACTTCTGTTTATTTCCACTAAAAAAAACAGAGAGGGGGCTTTTTTTTTAGGAGATGCTTAGCTGAAGTTTTTCTTTTACTCAAAATAAAACATCATGGAAGCTCAGGGCTTTCAGATGGGGAAGAGAAGCAAGAGATGAGAAAAGGTGACAATATAGAAGCCCAACTGAGGAGCCAAGAAAAGTTCAGTGGTTGAAATTTAACTGACAGAAGCCATAGTCCACAAGTATATACATACACATGCATAGGCATTATTTCTGGCTCTGGGGGAAGCCTGGAGAATTTATACATCCTAAAAAGTTTTGGGGGGAAGTTACAAGGGGGTTAGACTTTGAGCAGATAAGTGTCTTTCTTTCTCTGAGAATAGTCTATGGAGTATCACTCTGGCTAGGGTGAGCAATCTACCATACAGATAAAAGAAAATTCAAGATGAGGATACTGAGAAATTGAGCCAGTTGACAAATACTAAAATATGTATTCTCTCTAAGATGATACACCTTCTTCAACTACTTTTAAGTTTAATGGCAACTGTTCTTCGGTTCTAAATGAGTCCAGTGGAAGTATGACCCCTGAAACTTTGTATACCAACTTTAAAATAGGTTCTGGATTACTGGTAAGATTTTCATCTTTGCTAGGCATTTGCAAGCATATGCTGCAACCAAAATCTCTAAACATTAATTTATTTGTTTGAACATAATTTGTTATGTGTCTTCTATGTCTACAGAGAGCTAGACTATCCTTACTGAAATATGTGACAGGTGCTATATTAATCTTAAAGGTAAAGTCAAATTGGGTAAGGGAAATTCAAGTAAGACACAGCTTGCAGCTAACTTGAAATCATATGTAGTAAATCTCAAATACAGAAACAAAGCAGTATATTTGATATTGACTTAGTGACTTGAGAAATTCTGCTATGTACTACTCATGGAAATGTTTTGTAGAGTGTTGCATATAAACTGGCCTTTAATAAACGGATTTAATTACTATTGGTTGAAATGAAGCATTTATCACAATTGTAAATATGATCAGAAGTTGTGTACAAATTTTCATATGGGAATGAGTGATTCATATCTAGTGTAATACAACAAAAAATCTGGCTAGAGAGTAACTAGAAAAATTATATTAGTAGAAATATAATATATTCCCACTGTAAAGGGTCAGGCATACAGGCACAAAAAGTATTAAAATATGAAGCAGGCAACTGTATGGAGTAACAATACACTTGACTTTTATACTAGTTATTGTAGTCTTGTTGACTGGAGTTTTGATCCTGGTAGTAGTTGTAACAATTATCCCAGTGCAAAGAAGAAAGTGAATTCCAGTATATTCTAGACAATAGTTGAAGCCAAGAGAGCTGGCTATGTGTATATACAACCTATAGTATATGTGTATATCTATGTTTGAAAGAGGCGAATGGTGTATTTTGGTGGGTACGAATTTTATGTCTCTAAGTGTTATTTGTCTTGCTACCGGAGGGAGCAGTGTGTTGAGTGACTGAGTGAGCAGGATTTGTAGAATGTAGTAAACACTCACTGGCAAGAATGTATGAATGAAGGAGTGAACAAGCATAGGTCTACACAACAATGGATACAAATGTATAAATTATAACTCATATAGGATCTATTTTTTTTTACTTTTGGCTTGAAAACTTTATTAAAATAAGGATTAAAGTTGAAAATAGAACAATCAGAATGCCAGCCCTTGCATACAATCAGCAAATAAAAGGAAAGAGGAAGAAAAAGAGAGAGAAAAAGAGAATAAAAGGGTAGGAAGGAAGGAAGGGAGAGAGGGAGGGAGGGAGGGAGGCAGGGAACGGACTGGAGGGGAGTGAGGATCTATTTTTTCAAAGCTATATTAACACTTGTAAAAAGATTTTTTAAATCTTTACATAATTTTAAAAGAGTATAGAAGTTCTAATTTTGGCTGAGAGCAAAAAAATAGTATTCTCTTGTCCCAGTACTCCCTACCTGTAACCCTTTCTCTGAGAAAAAAATCTTCATTAATTTTTGTGCAAATTTTTCTCTGATGCTTTTTAATTTGGGGTATGTTTTTAAATTACATAATTTTACAAAATATTTTTTAACTTTTAATTTCAGGGGCACATGTGCAGATTTGTTACATAGGTAAACTTATGTCATGGGAACTTTTTGTACAGAGTATTTTTCATCACCCAGTAGTTAGGCCTAGTACTCATTACTTATTTTTCCTCTTCCTCCTTCCACCTTTTTTCTCTTAGAGGCCCCAGAGTGTCTTGCTTCCCTCTATTTGTCCATGTGTTCCCACCATTTAGTTCCCACACCAAAGATGCTATGTTTGGATTTCATGTTCTTCTCGATAATCAGATATATTACCTGCCTTCCAATCTGTACCCCTTATGCACATGGAGCTGTACCAGTATTTTCTGTTTATAGATGACAAATTTCAATTTAAGCAAAATATTTAAATCTATAGTTATGAAACTAACTATAGAAAAATATTTCCTTTCTTCGTTCATAGTACGTTAATGACATGAACTAACACCATTTTCTCCAAACATGCTATTTTTAAGGCATTTACTAAGATATATATTGTTTCCTAACATATTTACATTTTGATACAGAGATATTTCAAATTTTTTTCTAGAAATTATTTGTCAATATATGGTACTATCTTAGAACCATTTGAGAAATAATTATAATACTCATTTTGATGATTATTTTTCTTTTTTTAAATTATACTTTAAGTTCTGGGGTACCTGTGCAGGTCTTGCAGGTTTGTTCCATAGGTATACACGTGCCATGGTGGTTTGCTGCATCCATCCCCCGTCACCAACATTAGGTATTTCTCCCAATATTATCCCTCCCCGAACCCCCCAAACTCCCAGCAGGCCCCAATGTGTGATATTCCCCTCCCTGTGTCCATGTTTTCTCATTGTTCAACACCCACTTATGAGTGATAACATGCGGTGTTTGGTTTTCTGTTCTTGTGCCAGTTTGCTGAGAATGATGGTTTCCAGCTTCATCCATGTCCCTGCAAAGAACATGAACTCATCCTTTTCTTATGGCTGCATTGTATTCCATGGTATATATGTGCCACATTTTCTTTATCCAATCTATCATTGATGGGCATTTGGGTTGGTTCCTAGTCTTTGCTATTGTAAACAGTGCCGCAATAAACATAGGTGTGCATGTGTCTTTATAATAGGATGATGTATAATCCTTTGGGTATATATCCAGTACTGTAATGGGATTCCTAGGTCAAATGGAATTTCTATTTCTAGATCCTTGAGGAGTTGCCACACTGTCTTCCACAATGGTTGAACTAATTTACACTCCCACCAACAGTGTAGAAGTGTTTCTATTTCTTCACATCCTCTCCAGCATCTGTAGTCTCCAGATTTTTTAATGATCACCATCCTAACTGGCATAAGACGGTATCTCAACCGTCTCATGGTGGTTTAGATTTGCATTTCTCTAATGACCAGTGATGATGAGCAGTTTTTCATATGCTAGTTGGCTGCATAAATACAAACATTTTAATGATTTTTGTCACTCCTATTATATTTTAATTTTTTACTTTGAAAACAATCCATACATCATTCAAAAGAAAAATCTCAAACAACCTGGAAATGCATTGTAAAAAAGAATGATATCTCATGAAGTTGAAAAATGAATAAATTGGTATTTATGTGGGTTGTTAAAATAGCCTATGCTTTATTTCTGCAGGTGGAAATACCAGAATAAATATCCATGTTTCCATAGACCTGAATATTTCTAGGTATGAAGGTGATACCAAAGGAAGTGCCAGAACTTCTTTCAGGGCTTTGCCAAATAGATTGAAAATAAAAGTAGATGAGAACATAATAAAAGTTACCAAGAAAACATTCTGAGATTTGATTTTCTAAGCATTGAGATAAAAAAAGGTAATTGAGTTCATATTTTTTCTCCTCACTTGGTCAATGATTATGTGTTCTAGACCTAAGTAATTCTACTTGCTCTTACATTTTACAAGAAGTTGTGTGTGGCCTTAACTCCATTTATTCAGACAGGTTTGGAAGCCTTCTAAGAATTAATTCCTTAATGAAAATATCCTAGGACTAATTTCACCTTAAAGGAATTAGATGCATTACATTTTTCTATCTTAAAATTTGATTTTTATTCTCCAAATAGGAGCATTTGGAAGCTGATCTGTATTGGATTTCAAGAAACATCCTTATGGGGCTTATAAACAGTAGTAGCTGGTTTCAGCCACACCTTCTCCTTTTAACAGGCATCCCTGGACTGGAGTCTGTACAAATATGGATCTCTATCCCACTGTGTGTCATGTACCTCACTGCCATCCTAGGAAACTCCACCATCCTCCTTATCATCAAAACCACCTCCAGCCTTCATGAGCCTCAGTACATCTTTCTGTCCATGTTGGCAGCTACAGATCTGGGTCTGTCTTTGTCAACTCTACCTACAGTACTCAATGTCTTCCTCCTGGATCACAGGGAGATTGAGTTCCATTCTTGCCTGACACAGATGTTCTTCATCCACTTCTTCTCCTGCATGGAATCAGCCATCCTGTTGGCCATGGCCTTTGACCGGTTTGTAGCTATTCGCAACCCACTGCACTATACCATGGTTTTAACGCCTGCTAAGATTACTCGGATGGGGCTTACAGGTGTGGTTAGGGGTGTGATGTTGATGGTACCCTTGCCAATCCTCCTCAAGCGACTGCCCTTCTGCAAAGATGTCATTCTATCCCACTGTTACTGCTACCACCCTGATGTGATGAAGCTGGCATGTGGCCCTGTCAGAGTCAACATGATCTATGGATTGTCCCTTGTCATCTGCTCCTTTGGAATTGACTCTGTGTTCATTTTCATTTCATACATCTTGATTTTGAAAACAGTGCTGGGTATTGCCTCAAAAAGTAGTCCTCTCAAGGCACTTAATACCTGTTTTTCCCACATCTTCACTGTCTTTATTTTCTATGTGCCGCTCATTGTGCTGACCCTAATTCATAGGTTTGGTAAATTCACATCTCCTCTTCTCCATGTCACCATGGCCAATCTCTTTCTCTTCTTGACTCCTGTCCTAAATCCATTAGTTTACAGCCTGAAAACCAAACCGATAAGGTTAGCAGTACTTAAGGTAATCAAGGGCAGAGGTAACTTGCTCAACTAATCAACTATGGCCTTATTTTAAAAAATATACCATCGCTCTCTTCCACCTTTTATTTGCCTGGTTTTCTCTGGGGAATATATCATTACTTCAAGGTATAGTTGTGTAAATATTGAGGTTTTTTTGTCTGCCTTGAAGATGATGGAATTTGGTTAATGTCTTGGTCTAATTCATTATCACAGTGCTATAGAGTGAGGCTTTCTGAACTTTTTTGATGTCTCTTCCTATTCCAAAGTTTCAGTTTAAATATTTAGGTGGTTTCCAATTAGTTATAGAATAAAGGCCAAATTATTAACAGATTTTACACAGCTTTCTGTTTCCTTATTCCTTCCCTTCTCTCCAGTCTCAACTCCAACTACACAGTGCCACTTCTCCTCAGACCAGGTGATTGAATATGTATTTACACATGTATACCAGTTTTAAATGACTCTAGGCTTTACCAGTTGCTTGGCTTCAAATTTCATCCATCGTAAAAGAACTATATTAATAACTTTTCTAACATTTTATTAGAATTGACTGTTTTATATGACTAATAAAACTGCAGTTGCACCTTTATACAGTTAACAAAATAACTATTCAAATAGTTTTCGCTAAAAGCCACTTTATCCATTTCATGTGTTTACTCTTGGACCAGAATTTTATATTTTCTTTCTCACCCTAATTTTAGGATATATATATAGAGAGAAAGATAACTGTGAAGAAAAGTAGGATAAATATATTTTTATAATGTGATGACGTGCCTAACTTCCTTGATAAAGATTGGAATAATCTGAAAACATGAATTTCAATGAACATAAGAGATGATTAATAGAATCTTAAAATTCAAAATAATAAGATAATTTTTTATCCACTTGGTCATGTGATGCCCACATGAAAAGGCAGCTTTGGCAGTTTCCTGATTTTGGTAACTTTTTTTTTTTTGAGATGGAGTTGCACTATTGTTGCCCAGGCTGGAGTGCAGTGGCGAAGTCTTGGTCACTGCAAACTCAGCCTCCTGGGTTCAAGCAATTCTCCTGCCTCAGCCTCCCAAGTAGCTGGGATTACAAGCATGTGCCACCACACCCAGCTAATTTTGTATTTTTAGTAGAGGCAGAGTTTCACCATGTTGATCAGGCTGGTTTCAAACTCCTGATCTCAGGTGATCTGCCTACCTCAGCCACCCAAAGTGCTGCGATCACAGGCATGAGCCACAGCACCTGGAGACTTTGGCATTTTTTTTCTTTTAGATTGAATAACATGATTTGTAACTTTGAAAATTCCTAAGAGTCGAGGTTGAAAAGTGTTGGTAAATATATATGGTGACTTTCCCAAAAATACTACTTTTGATTACAAACTAGATCTTTAAATTAATGTTTTTAGACCTGGGAAATTAACAATTTTATATTTGAGGCATGTTTTAGAGAAAAGCTATTTTTAACTAAAAATGTAGTTTGATGTACTAAAAATACAAACTTCAATTATTTAAAAAAAGTTTCTGTGATTTGATCTTGTTCTCTTGATCCTAGATATGAAAGCGACAGTTATCCTATTCTGTACTAGACTCAGTGTTGGATATGGAATGACTATGTACCTTGACGTATTTCAGTGATTTTCATGTTCTGAATGAGGACACACTGCATTCTGAATTTTATGTCTTCTTTGATTCCATGACTTGATTTCTGTGAGTTAGTGTTTATTAGAGCAGGAATAGTATAACAACTTCTACACAACAGTTTAAATTTTATGCTAATTTAATCATTATATTCAAGGTTGTAGTTGACAGGCAGATGAGGGAATGTTTTTACTTTATAATAGAAAACTTAGGCCAAAGAAACATTCACAACCTTAGGATAGAAAGCAAGAATCGGAAACTTCACGATACTTCCAGTTATATGTCAGTTTCTTACCCACCCCATATTCTCCTATAAATTTGCTCACAGAAAAATAGAATCTTCTCTCCAGTCTTCCATTCAGCATTATGCAGAGAAAATAAAGAGCAAGTTACTTTCTCTGTAGTTGAGAATTTATTGTCAAATGAGAAAAGCAAAAACTATATACACAGACCCGTTAAAAGTTCAAAACACATACAAATAAACTGTGTGTTTAGAACAATTGTCACTTAACAAAAAAGAATTCAGATCCTAGTTTTTCTGATTCATAACTTTTTTTTTTGTGAAGAAAACCAAGTTTCCCATAAAACAGGCATGATTTTCCCACAATCATTCCGTTATTTAGTAACGTAGACCATTTTATTCATGCTCCTTTCTCCTTCCACTTCATCATGTCAAAATAAATGGCTAGAACTTAACTAAGATGAGGCAATAAATACTTACTTTTAAATTGTCATTTTTTCTAGATCTCTCTCTCTCTCAATGTGTGTTTTTTAAATAGAATTCAACCACTTCTCTATAAGGGCATCCAACTACACACCCACTCACCTCACTGCCTTTCTGCTGATGGGTGTCCCAGTATTAGAAGATTTCCGGACTGATTTCCATTCCTTTCAGCTTTATGTGCCTCTTGGCTGTGATGGGCAACAGCCTGGTTATGACACTGGTGGCCTGAGACAGGAGCCTCCTTAAACCCATGTATCACTTTCTGGCTATGCTGGCACTCAATGATGTTCTTCTTTGCACTGTCACAGTGCCCAAATTCCTTCTAATCTTCGAGCAGGGTCCCTCCCTGTCAAAACTTTCTGTTTGCCTCACACAGATGGTTTTTGTTCATGCTCCTTTCCTCTCAAAGTCTGCTATTCTACCGGCCTTGGCTTTTGATCTCTATGTAGCTGTCTGTGCACCCCTTTATTATACACTACTTAAAGGCTCTCTCACTGGCAAGATGGGCCTGGCTCTGGTGGCTCAGAGTGTGACTGTAGTTATTTCCTCCTCATTCTCCAGCTGCACTCTTGTAGGAGAGACATCATCTGCCATACCTAATGTGAGAACATGGGCATTGCCAAGTGGGCCTGCAATAGCATTGCCCTTAATAGCATTTGTGGGCTCACTGCTGCTCTCCTCAACCACAGGACTAGATTTTGTCATCATCACCCTGTCCTACTGGTTAATTTTGAGAAGAGTCTTTTGACTACTCTGTAGGAAGTTTCCACACGGAACATTCTTGCTGATTGCATTTGATAGTAACTGGGACATTCTTTAGCATCTGTAAACCTGCCGTAATTTCTACAATATAATTCCTCTTTTCCAGTAGGAAATATTAACCTCTAGATTAATAAAAGAACTATTCCCTGTCATGTAATAAGAAACTGTGTTGTAAACATAGGATTGACATATATGTGGTCTTGTGGTTGAATTAATTGGATTGAATAAAAAAATTGAAAAAAATTGGTATCATTCTCTTCATATTATATATATAAAAGCATATATTTTTATCATTTTGTGTGTAACTTGTGGTTATTTATACTGTTTTAAAAATGTGCTTTTATTGTTTAAACCATCAGATCGAATGACTGATAAGTGGAATAATGAGGTGTTTTGCAACAATGCTTTATGTAGAATAAAATACCAAACCCTTCAAAGATGAAGGAAACATCACGGTACTCTGATATTTGTGTTTTGTCACAAAGGGCCTTTTGTAGCATAAAGATGATCAGTCCATAATTTAAAGGATAGCATTTGACATTATGAAAATAATTACATTGCATTTTGCCTAAAGATGGGGGGTTGTAATTTAAATTGAAAATTATTATTTTGGGTTTAAGGATATCTTACAGTTTCTACCAGAATGCAGAGAATGTTTTCATAAGGCAAATAAATATTTATGGCATTATCTAACTACCTAATGTGAGTGAAAATGGCTCCTAAGTTTTAAATCCATATGCAAAGGAAATAAATGTTTCTATTATTATTGTAATTTTAGGTGGGAGGAAGACACTTCCTGTCTTAGAAGTACTGTCTGTTTACCGCAGGACTGAACTCCAGCCTTGATTAAGGCTGTCTTAGCTTTCTATAAGATTAAAATTATTTCAAAAATTAAGGAAAAGAAAAAATATATATATATATTAAGTTGTCTGTTTTTATTCCTGAGAAAACTAAATCTCCTCAAATAGGGCTAAATGTGTATAAGTATTTAAAAAGTGTTGCTGATGCCTTGTAAGAGATAATAACTTCTGCTTTGAGCCATAATATGCTCTTACATCAGTGGAATAGTTTATGATCTTAAAAAATATGGATCATGTAGAATTACAAACACCACAATTGTGTAACAAAAAGGTAGTGTAAGAGTCCTGGCAAACATAAAATATCAAAAAGCGAAAAACATATAGGTTTGGTACCCTCAAGGAAAACTTCATGAATTAGTGACCTTGAATAAAGTTTGGCATTAGAAATTTGGAGAGAATAAATAAACATGATTTTCAACACACCACTATGTCACATGTTTGTAATTAAGAAGGATTTATGAATCACATATTAAATTAGGCTGTAGAGTCCCATTAGTCACTAACCCTGTCCTTTAGAACCTCCCTTGTGATTCTCTGTTGACTCTATGTCTGCTCTTTAAGTAGTCTTCGGTCAACAACTCATTCCAACATACCTAGAGCAGAAAAATCACTGTGAGTTTACTTCCTTAGTACTGATGCAATTATTGTCTTAAGGACATGCCTACTTCACAGTAGAACTGATCTTTTTAAGGAAAAACAAGTGGAGGATCCCTTGGAGGATCTGCTGGGCCTTCACACTATAGATGATTGGGTTGAACACAGGTGGAACTAATAAATAGATATGAGCCATGAAGATGTGGATAACCAGGGAGGAGTATTTGGCAAAATGATGGATAATGAACAGTCCTATTATAGGCACATATAGAATGAGGACAGCACAGATATGGTATGCATATGTGTTGAGGGCCTTAAGCCTCCCCTTACGGGATGCAATTCTTAACACTAAGAGAATGATAAAAACGTAAGATACTAAAATACCCAGCAAGTCCATGCCCCACAGGACAGTGACCAGAACCAACCCATATACGACATTAAACTTGGTGTCAGCACAGGCAAGGCGGATCAT